CTGGATCCCAGCTCTCTGTTCCCTGTTACAGATGAAAGCTGAGTGATCCCGCTGGATCCCAGCTCTCTGTTCCCTGCTGGCAGCTGCCCCAGTCACGCCAGCCCTGCCATGCCAGCTCAGGGCACTGCACAGGGCAGGTCCTCACATAACCCCAAATCCTGGAGCTCCAGCGTGAGCCAGCAGAGGCCAAAACCTCCAGGGGGAACCTCACCCCACTGCTGCCACCTCAGCCTTCACAGGAATTCCCAGGAATTTGGGGAGCTGGACAAAGCTGGCGGCTCTGCCAGCACATGAGCACAGCACGGGGATTAAGGGATTTTTGTCAGGTCTTTGTGCACAAAGGAGAACTGGGGATTATTGTCACCAGGAGCTCCTGCCCTGTTAATGGCAGCGTGGTTACAGCAGCACCATCCCAGGACAGTGCTGCAGAGGGGAGGGTTTTTCTGGGGATTCAGAAAATAAATAACAGTATTTTTTAAAAAAAACGATCTAGCCAAACATAATTTTACATTAAAAATATGTCCAATGAAACAAAGCATCTTCTCTTCAAATCCATTCACAAAACATGTGCTGGTCAGTGATCCACTGATTTTCAGTTGTATTTCAAATGAAATTGCTTGTCTGACTATAGAGTCAAGATGTCATTTAATACATTAGCTGCCACAAAAGTGAAGTCTCACTTTTTAAACTTTCACGGGAGTCCTTTAAAACACAAGTGAGTAAATGGAGCAACATAAACGTGCATTAATTGGTTTGTACATAATTCCAGCCCTGCTTCAGTCCCACTGATTTTATATACAGCTAGCACTCACAAAGGTCACTTCAAGAGATCCTTATACCCCAAAAGAAAAAAAGACAAAAAATATAATCAAGTTCTGTAGCAAATTTCAGAAATCCCTTCCACAGGGAGAAGCCCAACACATGCCTGAGCTGGTGAGGGATCCCTGCCCTCCCCACAGGGCTGGGGCTCAAGTCAGGGCTCCCTCCCACTGCCACCCTGTCACCACAATCCTGCAGCTTAGAAATGGCTCCTGTGGATTACCAGAGTGAAAGCTGCAGCACGGGAGCTGCATTTTATGGGATCAGATGGGGAGGGAGCAAATGTCAGGGAACAGGATGTAAAATAAACACTAAGTCAGTGTTCCAACCAGCTGCTTCCAAAAGCCCCCAAACAACAGGGAAAAAAGGAAAACTCCAACAGTAGAAGGAGATGAGCACTTCTCCAAGGGGCATATGCTCCCCATCACTGCTTGGGCCAAATGTGAACACGTGGGAGAGGCAAGAGACAGCTCAGGAGCTCCAGTAAATCCTGTCCTGGAGGAGCTCCTGGGACTGACAGGGACATCAGAGTGTTTAGTGCACGAGGCAGTGCTTTACCCACCTCCCTGCTCCCAGTCTGGCAGGTAAGGGAGGCTACATGACAGAACAAGGCCAAGCCAGACAAAAAAACCCTGAACTACATCTTCCTTGTACATGTACACTGATTAGAAAGGCAACCTGACACCCAGGTGGACCCTAGGACACAAAATGGCTACAAGGGAGCTCTCACATCACCTTTTTCCTCCTCTGTTGGACTAACTGGCAGCCACAGTGTCCACTGGCATTTAAACCAGAGATTTTTATACTTACTACAAAGATAACACACGTCCAGCCTCGAGAACAGTGCTCAGAAAACTCCACATTGCCTGAATTCAGGAGGGCAACTAAAGCTCTTGGAGCTGCCCCCAAATTCTCCTTCTGGCCCCTTGAGGAGCAGGAGGTGACTTCTACTCTATGGTCAAAAGAGTTGGGGTGAGTGGAAACCTGACCAGGACAGGCACCTGTGGTGTCTGTAGGTGTTGTGTATCCAAAACAAGACAAATCACCAGAAAATGCAGCAGGAACAAGTATCAAGCAGTTGTTTCTAGTCAGAGTGTGCTGATCCAGGTCTGGCAATGCACAGTCTCCAGCATTTCAAACTCTAACTGGGAAGAAAAGCTTCGGTTCCTACAAATTTATCCAAACCCAGACCCTGGTACCAGCTAACAAAATCTGAGTATGTGATCAAAGCAGAAGGGAGAAGAAATAAGTGGTATTTAAGACATGTTCTAATTAATTCAGCTGCAATGCTTGGCTCCAGAACAGTTCTTTAACCATCCTGTTAGTAGTGTGCACCACTTAGACGAGGGCAGTGTGCAAACAAATATCAGATGTTTGGCAGTAACCAGAAAAATCAAATATGGTACCTAGGAAAAAACCCAACAGCGTCCAGTTTCATCTGCATTCACACCAGGTAAAGTAAGAGTAAGTCACACAAACATCACTCTACATGTGTCAGCAATGCAGGTACAACACACAACTCTGAGTGATACCAGAAACCTGTTAGAAGCTTTAAAACAGAGCCTCTTTAATATTTTAGAGTGAAGCTTTTTAAGTTGCTGCTGTTGTGTTCCCAGCTGCAAGGGCACAAGAAATGGAAGGAGCAATGATGCTGATTTTGCAGCTTGGCTGTTACAGAGGGGAGGTGTGGCCAGAGCAGCCAGCTCCTCTAGCTGAATGTCACTTCACAAGGGAGGGACCAGCACCCACGGGGAGTTTTTGGACACTGAGAATGGACCAGAGCAGGACCTGAGACGAATTCAGAGCAGCCAAGCACTCGTCCCTTCCATGTAACCCCAGAGAAGGGGCTCCAGCATCTCACTCTGTAAAGATGGCTCATTTTTCACATTTTCCAAGAGCCCAACAGCCAGCATTTAACCACACAAGTTTCTTACATGACTTCAGCTTCACTGTTCAAAAGGGAAAGGGGGAGATGAGTTCTGAACGTGCTTGACTGCTGTACATACCCTTCTATGATCCTCCAGTTGCCTCTGTGGTAGAGTTTGATCAAGCTCCTGCTGTGCGTGCAGAAAGTTCATTTTAAAGCAGAACAACACTCAAGAGAGACCAACATCTGGGCACTCGTGGGGAATACTGGGGAAGCCACAGCTGGATGAGGGAGATGGACTGACAAGCCATCAGAACAGGAGCCCTGCCCTCTGCCAGCCCTGGCCCCTCTGCTCTGCCACCCTCCCACATCCCCCTGGCATGCACGTGGTGCCAGCAGGGCTGGCCTTCCAGCAAACACAACATCTGTCTGGGGTCACACACACGGGGTTTTTGGGGGGCTCAGCCCACGCATGCCCATGCACAGACACACAGGAACACCCCCCCCAGCCCACTGGACACACACTCTGGGGGTGAGGGACTCCAACACATCGCTGAAACTCCTTTGAGACTGGGGAGGGCTTCTGGAGCAGCCTGGGGGGCTCCCTTCAGTGGCCAGGGTGGCACAGGGGAGTCACTGAACAGAGCCCCTTGGCACGGGCACGTTTCCAAATCACATCTCTCACTTTAGATATTCGTTTCCAGGAATGCAGCTTGCACTTTGCAAAGCTGAAGCACATTGGGGTTTTGCTGCTTCAAAGCATCTGAGAAGGTGTAGAATAATGGCTCTACACGGGGACCCATCAGAAACCAGGAGCCATCTCCCAGGCATCTCAAATCCATTTGATGGCCACTCAGAGTTTCAGGTTACATTTAAACATTATTCCACAAAAGTTACAAATACAAACGCCTAAACCATCACAAACATTTCTTTTTCTACATGATCTCACATTTATAAATTTCACAGCTCAGAGAATCAACACTCTCCCAGATTTAGACTTCCATGTTGCTTCATTTAGATTTGCACTGATTTGGCACCCTGTTCTACAATCTACCAATGTCATGTCTGGATGTCCCATGAATTTTAATGGAATTTAAGATTTGACAAATTTTCCTGCCTTCTTTTTTTGGCAAATAATCTGCTTTATGCACATAAAGGACACGTTTCCACATATCCAATTCCCACAGAACCAGTGACCTTGACAGTGTGCAGTGACCCTGAGCTTGTCCACTGGGGCATTTTAAATGGGACACCAATTGCTCTGGAGTTATGAACCTTCCACTAAGAACTTCAGACACCTCCCTTTCCTTAAGGTATTGAAGTTTTTAAGTATGTGAGGCAAAGGGAAAACCAAATTCTGCATTAGGAGCCAAAATGAAATCTCATTGTGCCAATGTAGGAAAATTTGAGAGGAGACTTTTCCCATTGCCACCCTTAAAGAATAAAAGAAATGGCTGAAAGGAACAGCTTAGGATTAGTTTACAATTTTTTAATATATTTTC